GTATTTACTGTATCATACGTTTCTATGCGGTAGGTACCGGCCAAAATTATATCACTTTTAGATTTTTGGAGCATAACTTTCGTTAAAGTGAGCACCGAATGTGCTCAACATTTTACAGCAGACAACTGATAACAGTTGCATCTTGTACGCGAAGGGTGATGAAATTTGACAAAATACACCGTGATTTTCGAATTTTTCATTCGTGCACTTAAACACTATACCCCAAAAATTGAAAGGTGATTTTGCCCGGTATCGTCTCGAGATGAATCCAGGTCAAGCTAGCTAGGACTAGAGACCCTGTAATCAGAGACTGGCCATAAGAGTTCGTCAAATTCCCGCGAGTGAGAGAGAAACACAGGCTATCTCACTCTTGTACGATCGTAGAATCGTCTCTAGCTGGGGCCGAGAATTGTGACAAATGTGGCGAGTTTCTTCGTTTGCGAGTCGAAAAGAGGATTCGACTTAAATCGACGCCATTCACGTTCAATTATCGAAACAAATTGGTCCATTCACGTCTGTTCACGCTGCTTGATCTGGAATGAGCTCTACACCTTTATGGGACGGACTGATGTCTACATTGGTGGAGCCGTCTAAAATTTGTTTGTTGCGCGCGAAATTAGACTCGACCGTCGGAAACAGATCTCTCTGTGCCGTCGTTATCAATAGAGCATCAGACTCGCCGCGGCCAGCGCGGCGATGCGAGAATCGTCTCGGAGCGGAGAGCGAGATTCCCACTCCGGAACGACATTCTCCGACTTGTTGTTCAGCTCCGGCAATGAATGTGGCGGGCGCACGCGGGGACGCGCATGATTTTCCGCGCGGTCATTAAAAGTTGTGTCGCATCGCGTCTGTTGCTGACTTTCCGGCGGTCGCGCTTAATTAATGAACCTCGCCGCTTTATAAATAACCGGATCCGCGGATATTTCGGTCCGGTGGCGAATGTCGGGTCAATGTTTCCGACGATTCACGCGCGGACGCGGGCGGATTCCGGTTTCCTGGAAATGGTCTACGTCATTCCACGTGATCGATCGTATTGGGAGGAAGCGCTGATTGCCGTGGATGGAGGATCTTGATGAAAGAAGTTGAGTGGCTCAACTGCGCACAAGAACAATTCAATCAAACATATACATATCCCCTGGCCTTGGTCTCATTGAATACAATATAACACACGAATTTAGTCAGATAGGCTGGTAACGTAGCGGTCTGGTCTTAGGAAATTTAAAGAAGAAGAAGAAGAAGCTACGACGGTCTAATGAAAGAAAGCGCATTTCGCACGCGAGAGTTGGGTGGGAATTTTTCACCTCGACCGTTATGGGATTTTTGAATAATGGTAGTTCAGTCACGATTGTAAATCCTAGGATAATTACCGTAGCAGTCGATATGTAAGAATAGGGGCGAGCAAACGGCCGCGGTGTGTGTTACAAACTGCTCTTTCATGCGAAAGATTTCCATTATGTAAAAGTAGATGCCAGGAATGTATAATCCTGTGCTCATCGTCTGTGCACAACAATGCCATTCAACAGTTAGCACGTGCGAAAATACATATGTACGTCTTGCGCTTTTGCTTTTGCAAAGGAGAAAATTACTGCTCTTTCAGACATTCAAATTGTAACGTCGGATGAAAATGCCTTTCCTTGAAGACTCGTGGCATTTTCTAATGCCAGTTTTTAACCGTTTCTCTGATCTTGACTTGATTAACAGATCTGACCTTTCCGGGCTCATTTTCAACTCCAAAAGTATCTCACTTTCATTCATGGCAACGATACGATCAGCAAATATTATAAGATTATCATAAATTTATTATCTTTAATAAGATCCGCGAATTAATCTCGGACAAATGTGTGAAACGTAACGTTACGTTACGTTACTAGATTACTAGATTACTGTACTCTTTCGCCGTCATTTCGATGAAAGAGAAAAGTCTCCGTTTGTCTGCTCGACTGGTACATAACGGGTAAAAGTTGCAGCCGTTGGCGCGTGATTTGTCACTCTCGGTGCTCCGGAGTCCGGAGTGACTCGCTTCTATCGGCACTCAACAAAACCCCCGTTGATCTCGCGTATTAAGCAGGAAGACGCGTTGCTTTGATTCGGTACGTTCATTCATGGCCGGTGAGAGATGCACAAACGTGACGACAACGACGGCACGACGAGGGCCCGACAAAAGCGTCCGCGCCTATTCAACTTGGACTCGTATAATTTCGTCGTGCGCGAGAGAGAGAGAGAGAGAGAGAGAGAGAGAGAGAGAGAGAGAGAGAGAGAGAGAGAAAAAAGAGAGGCACGAATGATGAATGTGAAGGCGCGAACGATACGTCGCGGTTCGAAGTCGAGAAGTGGAGTCTCGAGGTAACACATTGCGGACAATGACGAAAACGAAAATTTGTCGGCGACTTGGGTATAGCTCGACACTAAATTACACGTATATTTAATAAACCAAGGGGAATTTGTTTTCGAGTCCACGAGCACTTGCCTTTTTATCCTTTGACCCTTACATTTAACTTATTAGCCAATCAATTTATTTATTTAACTTATTATTTTATCCCTTTGACTGTTTCTTTTACTTCTACTCTTAATTTATTAATTTATTATACTTAACTTATTACACTATCTTATTCATTTGACTGGTTTTTAACTTTTACTCCTGATTTATTAATTTAGTAATTTATCTAACGACAAAAATGTCTAATCATTCACCTGTGACAATTCCAGATATGATATTATGAATTTGCTACCACAGACTCATGAATCCATTCTGTTTCGGCACAAAATGTTCAGTCAACTTTAGGTAATTTTCGTCCATATATATTTTTATACCATACACGTTAGAACACTGGCCGTTTAATGTCGAATAAAAAGCTTGATTATCATTTTAAAGAATGTAAAAAGATACAATAAGATAATAAGACAAAGTAATGGCCACTAGTAGGCATTGTGCATGATTTTGGTCAGCGTTCACCTTTGTGCTATCTGGGAATTAACTACAAATGATTAAATAATAGCTCTCGCCGGTAAAATACAGCATTTACGGCGCATATGTCTCGGATGTCGTAGCTTCGACAGGATTTCTCCCATCCTTTTCGTACCGAAACGTGTTTCTCCGCAAAGCTCACGAATCTTCGTCTGCGTGCTGTTTCTAAATAAGCGTCATCTATAAGGTGCAATGAGGAATTCCCACGCAGCCGTTGCTGCCGCCCTTCGGGGTCAACGATCTCTTTGGATACACGAGCGGGTCATGCGAAGCGATTAGAACTACTATTGTTCGAGACTTCTAGTACAGTGGTAATTTATTTCTGGGAGTAAGCCACCGCGCGCGCGTTGTGATAAATTACCGGAACTATAATTAACGTTTGGCGAAGACAATTTCAATTACCCTTGCACTTGACGTCTTCTTTTTATATTTTATACACACAGGATGTTTCAGCGAATAAGTAAAAAGCGAACATAGCTTTCGATACTTGAAATTTACGCGAGACATTCGTGTGAATAATTGTCCAGCTTTTTAGTCTGATGTCTCCCCATATCCATACCGGAAATGATGTGCCTGTCGCGATAAATGTAAATTATATTCAATTATCAACTCTCAGATAATTCATTGAAATTTTGCTTGAACGCGGCATTATCGAGAAGATATAATACTATAGTAATCCTAATTCGTGGATCTAATCCGAGAGAGAGAGAGAGAGAGTTAAAGGTGGCCTTTAAATAATAATCCTTATCGTTACGCACGCCACGGAGGAGCATTGTGGCCGGCGTTTTATTTATGGAGAACCTAAGATGATTACGACGAGGGCACGCCTAACTGCAGCGTGGCACCGACGTATGAGAGATTAGTTGCGCCACAAAAACGCCTACTGGTCCCGCGTTTACGTCGGGACCATAAATCCATTTGACGCGTCCGACTCTCTTTCGAGATGGGAGCGCGCTCGAACGCGCGCGACAGAGCGGGCCGAAGACGAGAGAGAGAGAGAAAAAAAAAGCGTGGGTTATCTGTAGAGAGTGCGCGTATACCGTTATGCACCGATCGTATCGCTGCACTTTCGCGATTATGCAATATTTGCCGAGGAGCAGAATATTTTGACTTACGGCCTTTGTACTCCGAAGCCGAGGTACTCCAAAGGCATTCCCGTTCTGCTCCCCTCACGGTTTTTGCGTCGGCGCAACAAATTTGCGCAGCATTCAATCAGTCGCGAGGTTCTTGAAGATTGAAAATAAATATGTAAAGGCCGACGTGCGTTTTTAAAATGGTAACGACGTAATGTGCTCTCCTTGACACGAGTTATTTGTGAAAAGAATTTACTGTTCGTCTTACGTTTTATGTCATTTTGGGGCGCGTATTTAATATTCCAACAGCAGATATATTAACGCCAGTCGAGAAATTAAGAGATACAATTAAGCGTGGAAACGACCTTACTGGCACTTCTTTATTCTATTATAACTTTACAACGTTTCGGCCAGTGATACTGGTCCTCTTCAGGTAACGAACTTACATGAGTACCCGCAAATGTCTGAAGAAACCGAAAAAGTTATGTATATGGTCTTGCGTAGCAAGAGATCGAAATAACAATTACGTTGTTTTATATATGTAATAAATTAAAACAAATAGAAACTTACAAGTTCGCCAAACTTAAAGGTGTGAAATTATGTCAAACGATAGAGACATCGCTGTATAATATCCATTCGGCGTTAGAACCTAGAATGGACGGTAAATGACAGATGTCAAGTGCGAAAGTCGTAGGAAAAATGAAATGAAATTAAAAAAAGTTTACTATATTAATCGCGAAAAGGATGTATCTCGCTCGATCCGCGGAGAATCGAATTCTTATCCGAGACGCATCGCGTGTCGACGTGAATTGAGATTCGGTCGGTCCTGAGGCCGCGCGAGGCGTCTCCGTGAATCATAATTGCCGATGAAACGGCAACGAAAACGTGCGCTTTTATAACTCGGCCCAATTATCACGGACTCGCGAAACTCACCGTCGCTCCGCGACTCTTGTCTGTTTCAGGAGTAACAAGTACCTGCAAAAATCGTCCATCAGCCGCGTGTGCGCCGTCGGGGGTTTCTTCATTAGCATCCCCGTCTTCTTAACTGGTAAGAACGAAGCGCTTCTTTTCAGACCTGGCTTCACCAAGCGTCGCTTAACTGGAATCTTGGTTGAATCCATGTTTGTCTCTTTCTAAAGTAACAATTGGAAAGGGACTGTGCACGAACTAAGCTAAGCTTTCGCTGCAATAAATAAATCCTGCATCGTGATCCGCAGGTATGATCCTGTACACGTTCATCCAGTTCCATTCGACACCGGCGATCGTCACGTCGGTCTTCATCGGCCTCGGCATCGTGTTCTGCGGATGCGCCATGGTCCACAACGTCTTCGTATGGCAGAAAGTGAGTGCGCCCTTTTTTTTACGCCTCTCCCGTCTTCCGCCCGCTTTCCTCCCCCTTCGTCCGACCTAACGGCGTGCGAATTTTGTTGGATCGTACGCGGATCTCCGTCGCGGCCAGCTCGCCACTTTATTTTGTCGTGTTTCACTACGCGCCGATGCACCGGCCTGCGTCTCCTTCCCTCTACGCCCTTAATCTCGCCCCGCCGTGCCTTATTAGCATATCCCGCAACGGTCGATGTCATTATCACGCTATTATTTACGTCGGTGATCATTCTACCGTGTAATTCGATTCCAAACTGGATCTGTACGCAGGATGTCGTGCGTGCGTGTATGCGTTAAGCGGCCGGTGGGTGCGAACGGACGTGTCCGCCGTCAAGTTTTTGCCCCGCGGAAAAAAGAGCCGATAACAGTACAGCTCTTCTACCTAACGTTCGTGCGATTCTGGGACGATACTTCGATTCGCATTACGTAATTGTGTGATTAAGCGGAAGATTTTTGTGTAACTGCGACCGCCGCGGCACCCCGTCGCGTCTCTCCGCGATAAACTTCGCCGACACTTCGCCGCTACATAAATTGCACGACGGAGAGGATATGTTTCTTCCGCAATGCCTTCAGCATTACGACCAACATTTTCCTAATATTCCCCTATATGCTTGCCCACTCTTTTATCTCATTTGGATTACTTGATATCATATTCGGAAGCGTGTTTGGAATCAGATAACGGCGTTTAAGTACCTAAATAATAATTTTATGGAACGACATGAAGCAACAGTTTCACGAAACATGATGGATTTCCATATTCTCCAGATTCTCTCGTACTCTTTCTCCCTTATCTAAATAAAGCAAAATATTTAACGGAATTCTCTCTCTTTGCAATTCGCAGGAGAAGACGAATGCGGTAAAGGCGTTTGCCCGCGAGCAATGCGAGGTCGCGGCCCAGCTGCAGCGACAGCAGCAGCTGCAGCATCATCAGCCGCATCAGCAGGTACACTCGCAGCATCAATCGCACCAGCATCATCAGCAGCAGCAGCAACATCACCATCATCATCAGCAGCTGCAACTGCGGCCGACGCTGCACATGGGCTCGAAGATCGGTAGCGGCGGCCCGATCGGTCATTCGACCGTCAGTCTGGCCCAGCTTAGTCGCGGCCTTCACCATTCTTATCAGCATCATCCTCACCAGCATCATTCTCATCAACAGCGGCACGTGTCCTCCATGTCGCCGCCGTTGTTGCTGTCGTCGCCGCATGCCGCATCGCAGCACAATCACCTGACGCATCGCGGCGGTATCGCTGTCGCCGCCGCCGCCGCCGCTGCTGCTGCTGCTGCCGCCGCCTCTGTCGCCGTCACCGCCACACCACCAACGACGCCCGGCGACCGGTCGCCACCGAGTCCCAACGGCGGCGGTGGCGGCGGCGGCAGCGGCAAGCTCAACAGGTCGCAGCACTTGCCGCGCGAGACCAGCGGCAGCGTGAGCCCCGGCCTGCCGGCGGCCACGCTCGATCTGAGCAGTGCCGCTACCACCAACAGCCCGCACGAATTGTCGACTCTCGTTTAGGAACCTTAAGGGGCCGGTGGAAGGACCCGAAGACAAAAATCGGAGAATCTGTTCGGAACTTCTATTCCTTTGATCAACGAAAGAGATTATCTCCCGGATCGTCTCAAGTCGATATTTATTATAAGAAATAGATCTAAACTTATTTAGAAACAAATTCTTCAATAGATATTGCCTAAAAACAAGGGACCAAAAATTGTTAAGGCTGTCGCTGTTTATCTCACGTTGTTATTATTGCGTCATGTTGTAACATTATCGGCATGTTATCGCGTTATCATTGCGGCGTCACTTAGCATTTATCCTTTCCTTTGATGATATAGTATTCCTAGATGTTGACAAAGGCCGATGAGAAGTTATTTACCAGAATATCCGCATCGCTTCGATAACGATATATTATCGCGAGTCTTTTGCTTACCGCATATATAATATTTATGAAGCCTTGAAGAATATTTATGAATCTCGGCGATTATTGAAAACACCGTTCAGTTTTGCTGCTAAACAACTTATTCCAGATTAAATAACTAAGGAGAGAATAATTTCAATGAATTTTTGCACGCAAAAGCGTGAAACAAAGGTGATTCAATTGAATTTATTTCCTTAATTTAAGATAATAGCTAATCGCAATGCATTTTTCTTTAATTTACTTTTTATAATCTTACATTGCTGGACACAACTTTTTAAGACAACTTTAATGATAGATTTTATCGAAATTACCATTGCTATAGAAATTACGCAGGACGATCCAGAATAATGTTTTTTAGCCGCTATTACTAGTTTGAAGGTGATATTTCAAGAATGTCGAAGAATTCCATTGGAATTTATTTCATCAGTATCTTTGTTTGTCTATCCTCCATGCTATTCCGGCAATTGACGACCTTGGAATTTATACTCTCAAAGCCACTGACCATGTTTATAGCCCGGATCGTTAAACCAGTATTACTCGAGTCATAAGGTTTTTTTTTATTTCTCTCCCGTCGGGGTGCATAGTTCTCTTGTATAGTCAAAGTCGGAACTGTCTTAATCCTGCTAGTATTGTAGCTAACATGATTTAATGATTGGTCAATAGCGCTACTTCTTGTTGGCCTTGATGAGCTACATATTTCTTGTTTATCGCTAATTACAATTTTCTCAGGCAGGTTCCGCTTGCTTGAATTTTTTATCGATGCGTTCGGGGATACCGTATGCATATAAATGTTTACATATACTTATTGTACATACTGTTCTCAGAGATTTTACGCCACGTTGCTGCAATGCGACAATCATTTCGATTCCCCGAACGAAACTTGCCGATTTATGCTTTATTTACGACTGGTATATCCTGCTATAACCGAGAGCAGCAGCAACAGGTTCCTGTTGCGTAACGTCGACAAAAAAAGAATTCCTCTTACCGAATACGTGCTACATTTCGCTCTTCGTAAGTATCCTTTCTGGTTAACACGACATTCAGTATCGGACAATCAAAAATTCGTGCAGTTTCCAATGATAAGAATAAAACTTTAATTTTTTGCCTTTTACAAACAGATTTTTATTTAAAAACATATTTAAAATAATTTTTTATATTAGATATAATTTATCAAAACACTGCACAGAATTGTATCTTCATGCTTTTCGAGTCCCGAGTACTACGATTGAAATATTCAACAGTGTACGTACTTTCGAAGCCTCAGAGATCCTCGACGAAATGAGAAATTGGCACGAATGTGAATCTTGCCATGTGTTTTTTTTTCAATTAATATTATTATTATTTGTACTTATCTCTTGCAGAATCTCTAGTCCTAGATTATTTTCGTTCGCATGTGTGCGTGAAAGCATAAGAGTTTAGAATTCCGGTTATTGTATAATTACGCAGCTGATTGTTAGCGAATACGGTTGCTTGCACTAGTGAGCACTGAGTGCACACTAAGGCCTGTTTATAATCAATTTTTATATTTAATTTTGTGTTAAATATATGTTCAAGGAGTATTTAGTCAAAAAAATGATCCGTATGGATGACATACAGATCATTTTACTAGTTGAGAAATATTTCAAGAGATATTTAAGACGATCTTTAAATATAAGAATTGACTGTAAACAAGCCTTAGTGTGCACCCAGTGCGCACTAGTACAAGCAACCGAATTCGCCGAGACAATTAATAAAATGCTTGTAATTTAATGAACTCGACGCAAATCAGATTTCTTTTCCCAATGATATTACTGTGTGTATGCGATGTAAACATTACTAGAAATTAATCAAAATTGAGCATTATAAAAGTCAAAAACTTAGCCAGTTGCTTGGCTCAATTTTTTGGTACTTTTAACTATAAGCGATTTTTGGCGACTGTTTGATACATATACTAAAGTGTACCAGAGTGTACACTCTGTGAATACCGCTAAAGATATTCAATAAGAAAATTTCATTTAATAAAATTAAGTTTTTTATCGGAATAACTTGAACTTAACGGCTATTTCAGGTGTAAAGGCATTCATGACGCCGAGTGTACACTCTGGTACACTTTGGTATATGTACCAAACAGTCGCCAAAAATCGCCTTAATGCGATAATCGTGTATGAAATATGTAAATCCTGTTGTCTATTGTGCGAATTTCAATAGATCAACATTCGTATAAGAATAGAGCATTGAATTCTATTGTTCTAACGCTCGTACGATTGCACAAATCGTAAATCCAATTGTTCACCCTGCACGTTCATTAATCTATCAAGTGAAAAAAGAAAACAATTGAACGAGTTCTTCAAATTTCAAGCCGCCGAATGTGTGATGTACGATTTACAAATCAAATATTGCGATTTCGTTTCCTTTATACGTCCGTGCGTTTTAATATTTAAAGGTACTAAGCTATAAAGCCGCTTATGAGTTTATAATTTAAGCGCATTTAGGATTATATTTATAATTTTATATCGTTACTATGTGGTCGTGAAGGATTCACACGTTAAAAGAGATCGTAGCTCCAGTACTTAAACATAATTGTAGAATACTTACAACGCGAGAAATTTTATTTTTTTATCACAATTTTTTTTCTTCGAAGCCACAAAAACAATTCTTGGCACTCAACTTTCGCGCTTATCAAACGCAAAAATATATCAAGTCGTCATTTCATATAGTTTAGTAATGATCTGAGAAACATCTTCCTGAACGTTAAAAAAATATATTTATAATAGCTGCATATTTGAGGATGCATATACAACAGTTTTTATGAATTTAGAACATATCTTTTTATTTTCGATTTGTATTAATAATGTTCATATCCTTGCGATATATGTATATACTAATCGCGTTATGTAGTCTATTCAGAATCTAACTTCCAATGCAATTGAAAAAAAGAGAAAGCCTAGAGAATTTGCGTCGTTTATGGTATATTGCATAGAATCATAATGCAAATCATGTGGTAACGACTTATGTAAAGACGTTTCATGGGTATGACATAACATATACTTACGTTATATTACTACTAATACGGTAAAAGTTCCATATTCGATTACGTGTTCTCGAAAACTATCCCGTATATTTTTTCTTTGCGTAATCACGATATCAAAATACGGAATACTTGGATGTTACGACTACGCGTTAAAAAGAAACAAAAAACGAACAAAAAAGATTTGGATAAAAAAGGTATATCATCAAAATGGAGAACATTTTTTCCATTAATTTTATTTTAAAACAAAAATCACAGATAACTTTTGGAACTATCTAAAAACATTAAAAATAAATTTTTTATCCGGTATTCCCAGATATCTTTATTGCCTCTTTTGTAAATAATCGAATTTCAAATCCGTAAACACGAAAGCTGATATTAACGAAAATGAGTTACTGGCAAAGTAAAAGAATGCGCGAAAATGGAGCTTCTACAAATGTATTCTGCAATTTTATTTACAGTCTTGTCGAATACTTAAATACAAAAATGCTTTGAAATCTCTTATTGTGACATTATATCTAAATTCCTTATTTATAGATTATCTTATATATATATTTTTTTTATCAAGTATAATATATAATCATTGAATCAATTTATTTAAAGAATATTAATATTAGCAACTTGGTTTTTATAAATTTAATTAGAAATTCGAAATACGATGATTTTAATGAACTATTCTGACATTTAAGTGAATCGAGAAACAACTCGAGCAAATATACATGTACATAACGCAAGAATATATGAGATATATTCTAGAGATGTAATTTAAATGGGCAGGGTAAGAAATTGAAAATATGTAAATTGCCTAATAATATACATGTATACACCTTACCGCGTTTGTAAGTAGTGTAGTAATAATGCATTTACAGGTAGTGAAGCATGTAATAATTTAATCATGTGAGTAAGTTATTTGTCGGGTTCATATATAACGCACATAGTACAAAAGTGTTTTAGCTTTATGTACTGATAGTTACGTAATAACAGTAGATGTATTTGGTATGTAATTAAAAAATGAAAAAATAAATTATTCTAGATATATATTGCGAATGAAGCTGTACGTTATCTCAGTCGTAATATAAATGTGATTCACATTGTTCTAAATGATTTAAGTATATTTCCATCGGTTTATTGAAAATTTGAAATATATTCACGCGAACGTTGGGTAACAGTAGAGTAATATTCCCTACATATGAAGCTCTCGTCAGCATACATACACATCTTTTTTTGTTATTAATTTGTCCTGAAGATATATATTTTTCGTTGATAATTAACGTAGCCACGTAAATGGTTAATTTGCAAAACTTATGACTTTTCTATGACCTCTTTCGTGATTAGATTAAAATACGCTTGCACTCGGTTCGATGTTTCAATATATTATTACACCCGTATGACACAAAAGCAAAGATGATAGCGTAAACGTAAACTCAGCAACAATATTTTGCAAGTAAAATTTGATAAGCGTTTGATTCTCGGAAAAGGATCTGCACTCAATTTCTAGATTATAAGTGCATTAAATAAAAGAATCAGAGTCCATTTTAAAAAGTTATAAATTAAAAAATTTTATTGTTCTTTCGTCGCTGATATCTTTAATAAAAATATGATTTTATATTTTTCTGTACAAAGTATGTTAACATTTTATACGATATATAAATATAAATATATATAATATTTATATTTATATATTGCATTGTGCACCATAATATATACAATTTAAAAAATTGCGTCTGTACAACATTTCTTGCATACTTAGATCCGAATATAATTTTTTACTACTATATACAAATTGCATTTATATCAGAAAAAAAATATTGGATTGAATTAAGCTACTTATAAATTTCGGCCTAAAATTATCTAAGCGCCGATTGAACACGGTTTCTTGAGTTATCATGTTTGCCTCGCATCGTTAATGGTAGTTGGTACTCTCACCTCAATGCCGTCTAGGCTTTCAGTCATTGTTATCTGGCATCCCAATCTTGAGCTAAAATTAGATACATGTATTTAAAATAGCGACGATTATAAAAAATATATCCACAAAGTATGATAAATAATAAAATTAATTAAATAATCCGTGAGAAATCTTAAAAGGTAAACATATAATGGAACCAGAAAAGGAGACTGAGATGATCGATTTGAATATCAAATCAAACGATGTTCTGTGAGGGACAGTTCTACTTGAAGTAAATTTTATTCAAAATCCCACAGGGACATAGGTAGGGAAAGCTAATTCATGAATAAATGTAAAAGATATTACAAAGTGAGATTCGGAGAACGTGTCTCTCCCGTATAGAGCTTTTATTAGCCCACAAAACTTTTTTCAACTAGCAAGATAGAGTACAATCTAAATAAAGCTTGAAACACATACGTGTCACCTCGCTCGAACGCCAATTCCAGCATATCCAGTTCTTCGTCCGTAGGTTCGTCCGGAAGACTGTCGAATACTTCTTTAGGAAAAATTAAATGACAAGTGCTGCATGTCAGTGTCCCTTCGCAAGCGCCTGCGTTTAAGTTGGAAAATACACTCGTCTCGTCAAATTTGCGCATAATTATTAAGGACAAGAATGTCTCATAGATACAAAATGTTCATACCGTAACCATCCAAGTCGATGTCATTATTTACAACGATATCTAAAATACTATCACCGACTTTCCCCTTCGCCTTTATCCTCTCTCCATTGGCTTTAACAAACGTTATAGAGACCCTGAATGAAATATACACGGTATTTATTTTTTTGTATTGACCATCAGCAATAAGATGCAAATTTTAATTAACCGTTTATAAGTTGCTAAAGTTATATGCTCATTTAAGCATATTTAAAAGATTTCTCGCGATACTGGTAGTCCTTTTTTGGTAGCAGCTTTCACGATAGAAATATCTTTTTTTGGTGCAGCTTTCACGAGACACCTCTTGTTTTCAAAGCATGAAAGTTGTTAATGACATTTAACAGCACTAATGTTACTAATTATTTTGACGCTATATCTGGTGTCAAGTAGAAGGTGGCCCGGTTTCTCATTTTCTGGTTAGCTGTTAACCAGAAAATGAAAAACCAGGCCTAAGAGTGACTTCGACCAAAGTCTGATTATCAGCAATTAAATTAAGCACTCATCGTGCGGTATTCCATTAACATAGACGGAATTGTCGAGTTTTTTGGTTGCCCAACACGCGAGACGAATTGCTATTAGAAATTTCACTGTGAACCGTCAACCTGATCACCGATTAAGTCAATTCGAATTTGATCAAAGTTGTCTAAAATTTCAAACACCCCCACCGAGGAAATAGAGGGCGCGGATGTATCCCCGTTTATATTTTGAAGGTGGCTTGGGGGCCACCATATTCAGGGACGCCCGTGCATCCCAGAAAATTGTTGAGATTTTGAAAAGATTGCGATTTACCCAAAAAATGTAACTATTCAAGAAAACGATAATGATCTTTGCGACTTGGAGGGATATCGCAATGTAAAGTGCGAACTCAAAACCGCGCGAATTTCCTGCATCAATAATATAAATATATAAATATATTTATGGACGGACATTCCGTATATGTGTATACACTGTAGATATATGTGTGTATGTAAATATTGCATGTATACAATCTAAAAAATTCGTTTATCTTGCACCATTTCGCGCTTTCTTTCTAAATAAAGGTTCCGCATTCTCCACGCGAGGAAATGACCAATGCTCGAATCTCTTGTACTCACTCTTTGCTCTTGGAGAGCGGTTGCATGGTAGACACGGTTCTCGCGAGGGCCGCCTGACTGGACATCCACTTAGACGAATAATTCGTCCCCAAGAGCAAGAACGGCCGCAGTCCTCGTATTAGTGCCATTGTTCTGTGTCACGTATCAGCTGGTTTCACGTGGACGTGCGAGCGTTTTATTCGGGACACCACGCGCCGCCGAAAATGAGGTTCGTTGTAATAGAGAGGCTACGCTGGAAGCACGATTAATCCGCGTTTGATAAGTCCTTGGCTGAGAACTCGCCAATCGTGAAAGCAATGAACTTGCACGTTGTGCAATACGTTGTGACACGTTGCAGCACGTCTCAGCTTCTCCCGGTTCCCACGCGTGATTACGCCGTAGCTGAGTCTCAGCGAGTTAACCTGAGAGCACCCCTCACCACATCCTCACCATCAGCCACCGTGGATACAAAGGCTTTCGTCTGGAAGCACTGGTTCTAACGATCGCAACGGTTGAATGTGGACGATTATGACAATCATCAAACGCTCGGCGTCACTCGACGACTGACTGATTCTCCCGTATCTGACATCGCGACCAAGTACCAGCGATTGGGGAACACGAGTGTCTCCGGAGTGACCTCTGTACGCATGCGCGAGCTACGTCACTGAACACGTAATCAGTTTCACAACTCGTAAAGTGATGTGCTTTGCGAGCATTTTTATCTTTTTTCCCGTCTCTCGGGGCCCCGTGATAAATTATCGCTTTTACTATATATTACTTATATATGTTAACAAAGTTTCCGGTTAATGACATATGTATAGCAGGCCTGCGGCCGGTTTGCACGTTTCGGCTGATGTTACCTACCGTCGTTCCCACTCCTCGTCTTTAACATTTACGCTCGTGAAGACGTCCCGCAGGGAGGACTCATACGCGCAATTTTTGGGAGATAACGGGTCCACGGAGTTTTTAACTGTGGACATACACAACTTACACATTGCGCGCGCAACGATATCATCATCAAGTGCCACCTCTTTGCTGATCATGTTCTCCTGATACTTTGTGAGTTTTCGAGATTTTT